CAGGCAGTCGCAGTGCCACTGAGCTAAATCCCCAGCCCCTCTTTCCTTTTTTTGATAAGGTTGGTTAAGGGTTTGTCAAGTTTATTTAATCTTTCAAAGAATCAACCCTTCATTGATTCTTAGTCTCCATTAATTTCTGCGCTGACCTTTATAACTTTCTCCTTAATATAAGGTTTGAGCTTGACTTGCACATCTTTTTCTAGAAATATGAGGTTCAACATTAGGTTGTTTATTTAACCATCTGATTCTTGATAAAGGGGTCAAACCACACATTGAAGAAAAGATAACCTCCTTAATGATGCTGGGGAAACTAGATATCCATATGTAGAAGGCTGAAACTAGATTACAGCCAGGTGTGATGGTCACAACCATAATTTCAGCACTTTGGGAAGTTAAGGCAGGAGTAATGCAAGTTTGAGCCCAGTTTAGCAATTTAAACCGGGCATGGTGCACACGCCCGTAATCCCAGCACTCAGGAGCCTGAGGCAGAAGGACTGTTTTGAGTTGGAGGCCAGCCTGAACTGCATAGCGAGACCCTATTTCAAAAAGACAAAAAAAAAAAAAAAATTAGCAACCTAAGAGACTAGGTCTGAACAAAATAAAATAAAATAAAATAAAAATAATAATAATTGAGCCTGGGGAATGAAGCTTAGTGCAAAGGCCATGGGTTCACTCTCTAGTACCTCAAAATTTAAAAAAAAAAAAAAAGGAAGAATGGAAGGAGGGGAAGGGAAGGGGGAAAAAAAAACCCCAAATAGCTCAATTGGTAAATGGGCAAATGAATCAAACAGATACTTCTCAAAAAAAGTACAAATGGCCAATAAGTACACAACACAATGTTCAACAAGCTGGAAATAGTCACTCACACCTGTAATGCAAGTTCAAGACCACCCTGAACTACACAGCAAGACCCTGCCTAAAAAAGAAAAGAAATTTGTTTATAACATTATATAGATCAGTTGTAATCTTACATTTCTGAGTATCTACAGTGTTCCAGGCACTGGTAGTTAAGGGTGAGATAATGAACAAAAACATGTGATTTTACTATCATGATTTCTACAGGAGAAAACAGAAGAATCATGCAAATGAATATACATCTGCAGTGAGGATACTGATATTCTTAGGTGAGGTCAGTGTTATAAAAGCAAATAAAGGAAATAAGGCATAATTTCCTTGGAAAATTGGTGCTTGAGTTGGCTGAGATCCAAGGAAGGCATCCAGGTGATGTGAGTCCTCCCTCTTCTCAGACTGTTCTTAGTAACTGATGTCTTCAGGCCCTCTTTTGCTCCAAAATGCCTATGCCCACTCCTCCATGGACTACATAGGGAATGTGTGGTTACTGTTTCTGTGTCAATAACAAAAAGGAAAGCCAAAATACAGTGGTGACTCTCGCAATTTGTGGAACACTAGAATGACCTGAAGTTTTGAAGATCAGAGATTCCCTCCTTTCTTGTCTATAGGTGGAAGTGGCCATTCAAGAGCTACTTTTCCTGGGTTCCTGTAGGCAGAAAGCTGAGTCCATGGAGGAGAGAGAAAGATAGTGTTGAGGGTTCCAACAAAAAGTCAAAGTCTGTCTTACAGGTGGAGTCTAATAGGGCATTTTAGTATGCCTTGCTGTGTTTAGGATGCAAAGACCTGGCTGAAATAGTGGTCATGGAAAATGGATGATGGATTGAGAGGCTGGAGAGACTTGACAAGAGTAGAAATTTTGAGTTCCTGAACCTGGGAGAAACATTAAAAAAAAAGACTGAGTTTATTTTAGGCTATGCCAAGTTTAAATGCATGGTAAAGTACAAGATGGCCGGCAAGGAACAGGTCAAGGAGTGAGGCTGAAGGTGAGGTCAGGATAAAGACCTGGAGTAGGCAGACCCTGCCAGGGGACAGCTCCCCCAGACAGACTCGGAGAAGCCCACACAGGGAACTGCCCGGGCACAGGGCTGCAGCTCATCACCAGCCTTGCGGGTTCTTCGCTTCCCTTGGCACCCAGGTCCCAGAGAGGGACCTAGGCAGAGCGAAAGGGATGGTGAAAAAGGTTTCTTCCGGTCCAGGACCAGGACGTCTCTTGGGACCTCCAACTTCAGTCTCAGGAAGTCTCACAAAAATTCTTCAAGCTTCACATCTGTGCACCCGGGGTGTCTGAACAAGAACTGCTGTCACACTGAGACCAACAAGAGGATCTTTACCAGGATGACAATCTGAGGTAACCGCCTGAGGAGCGCCTCTGCATCACAGACGAGGCCGGAAGCTAAACGCCCACTTCCGCCCCCAACCGGAAGTGTTCAGCGACTGGCGGAGAATTGACTTCTGGGTCTCTGAGGGGTAATTCCGGGTCGCCATGGCGGCCTCCTTGACTGGGAAGAAGATGGTGTTTGTCACAGGAAACGCCAAGAAGCTGGAGGAGGTGCAGGGAGGATGTGTGGGCCGAATGGGAGGCGCCTGGGAATAGGGCAGAGATGGGGCTTTCAGGAGCGGGAAGCCCCGAGAACGGGGAGTTCGATCCGCGGGGAAGCATGGGTCAGGACCCGGCTGTGCGGAGGGGATTGGGGTGGAGGGATGGGTCGCTGAGTGGGGATGCCCTGAGGGCCGATGGGTCCAGGGTCTCCACAGCTTCCCTCACAGACTTCGCGAGGTCAGCGGCTGCAGGCATGGCCGGGTCCTTAGCATTAGTCCCAAAGTTCGCCTCTTGACCCGGACACCAAACCTTGAGCCCAGACACTGCTCTGAGATGGATCCGCATCCCGCTGCGGCCCCGAGGTGGTGGTTAGAGAGGGCCACCTCTCACCAGGTCCAGAAGTGCACCTGGCCACTTTGTATATCTGTGAATGGGTAATTATCTTCCCTTACCCGTCATAGGATCAGAAATCCTGGCCGGCGTGGTGCCGCACACCTCTAGTCCCAGCACTCAGGAGGCTGAGGCAGGAGGATCACGGGTTAGCCTGGAACACATAGCAAGACCTTGCCACCACCCACCTCCCCGAAAAGACCGAAATCCGTAACAAATTTATTTAACCAGAATTTTACATGCACCAGAACCTTGAGAATGAAAACCCCAAGACTAGTAATAAAAATAAAAATTAAAATTAAAAAAAAAAAATTCCCTGCAGTGCTGGGATTGAACCCAGGGCCGCCTGTATAGTAGGCAAGCACTGTACCAGTAAGCTACAGCCCTAGCTAAAGATACTTTTTTATACTTAAATGAAATGAAGCATAGACAGCTGTGCCCTGTGTGATTAGGCAAAAGAGTAGAATCTAGTGGTAGCAAACTGAGCCAGGCCGGTTCTGATTTTGTCTTTTTGAGACAGGGTCTCACTATGCAGTTCAGGCTGGCCTTGAGCTCACTTTGTAGCCCAGAGTGGTCTTGAACTCGCAGCAATCCTCCTGCGTCAGCCTCCTGAGTGCTGGGATTACAGGCGTGTGCCACCACGCCTGGCTGGCAGAGAAATATTAAGAGTAATATTTGGGGGGCTTTATGGGTTGCTTTGAGAAAAAGGAAGTTTAGTTTCTGTGACCTGCTTTGGAGAAGAGATATTTGCATATCTCTTTTTTAGCTTTGTTTTTTTGAGTTGGTCTTGCTATGTAGTCCAGGCTGGCCTTGCA